TGCCCTTCTCGTGATAGCCTCTTTGGCGCGCGCTCAAGCATGCCGAGAGGATACTGTCAGTACCACCGCTGGTGGTGGCACCGGCAGCGCCGGGAGGAGCGTTGAACATGGCCAGGACCATAGAAACGACCTCGGCTTCCATCTTCCTCACGCCAGGGAAGACGTCCGGATGAATCGGGTTCGCAACCGTGAACTTGCCAAAAGCCTCAGTTTGCAGCTTCAGAAGCTCGTCCTCGCCGTGATAGACGGCACCCGAGACGTATCCATCCTCCCATCTCGTGTGGTCCAGGTTCGCCAGTGCATCCAGCTCCTTCTTGATGTCCTCGTCTGACATGCCTTCCTTGGGGAGTGTGAGGTATCGGGTCAGGTCCTTGGGGATCATCTTGCTCTGCAGCTTCGCCATGGTCTCGTTGACCTGCTTCTGGACCTGGCCGCGCACGCCGGGAGCGCGCAGGAAGTAGCCATAGAGGACGCGGCGGATGTCAATGTACAGCTCGACGATGCTGCCGATCAGGCCGCGGCCCTTGAGCTTGAGGAAAGTCTTGCGCGTCCATCGCCAGACGAAGAGGAAGAAAATGATGTTGCGCAGCCTGCAGACCGAAGAAAGCGGGAGTTCCGTGGTTAGCCTCGGCTGACATGACCTGCCGGCAACGACGAATCGCGCGACAGGAACACAGATCAGAAGGAATTGGCGGCTTACAAGTCGAGGTTCAGGACCAGCAGCGGATTGGCTTGTCTGGTGCGCTTGACGTGTTGCAAGCTCTCGCGCAAGCTGGCGGGGATACGGGAGCTGCCGGGCATGTTGACCACCTGTTGCTTGAAGCTCGGCGCAGTGGAGAGACTCGATGTTCACGACGAGTGACGACGACGAATGGAACGGGAACGGGGGCGGGAACAGCCAAGGCCAATGGGGGTGGATGCGAAACCCGGTTATATATAAACGGAGAAAAGAACAGACGACGAATGGGGAAGGGCGCAAAAAAAGAATTGGAGACGTAATTAGTAGGTGGGAATTGAGGAGTAAGGAGGAGGAGCAGCAGGAGGAGGGCCGGATGTTTAAGCAACACGACTGCAAAAGATGTGCATCGCCTCCGCTACGCCGGCGCACCCCAGGAAAGCAGTCGTGCCAAAATGACCTAGAACGCGGCGTAGAACACCGAACACCGTGAATCCCAGCTCTCGAGTCCAGAAAAAATCGTGGGGCATGGCGTCTTCTTGATTATTTCTTAGCGCGAAAACCCCTGTTGCTGCAGCTGAGGCACAGCTGGGTCGCCCCCTTCTTTTCCCAGGTCTGGGGGTTTATTGCCGCCATCCGGGCAATCACATGCGCCGTGACAGGCCAGAGGGGCCCTGCTTTCTACGGCGTCCGCGTCCGCTGGCTGTTCTTAGCGGTATCACTCCTTCAGGCAAGTCGCCTACGACTTGAACACCGCAAACCCAAGGCAATGGAACCTCGGAATGGAAGAGCGGACTTGAGCCTGCACTTCCAAAGACCATAGACTGCAACGTAAGGTATCGACGGAATGGCAGCAATGGGAAAGTGGACCGCGGCCGACGATAAACCACCTCCATCCCGAACGGGGCATTCATCACCGCGCTGCCTGCCTGCCTGCCATCTTATCAGATACGTCACAATGGCCAACACGAGCCGAACACCTGCGAAACTCGGCCGATTGGGCAGTCTATCCGATGCCCGCATGACTTTTTGTCGAGATCGCCTGCAACTCTACCCCTCACTACCCCTCGTTGCCGAAAGATGCGCCCTCTCTATTTCTCAACGCGTTGGGATGTCTCTGGGGAAAGTGATACAACAACCGTTATCCGTCAAAGACACCACGAACCGGTGCGCGCGGACAGGCCGGAGGGACGGGCCCCATCGCGGCGGGGCACCGGGTCCGCGGACGCCCGTCAACCGGGGTTCACAGTCCCGACTGCGACTGCCGCTTATCAACGGTGGCGTTTGACACAACGGCATGTAGGCGTCCGCCTCGAACTCATTGTAAGTGCATGAGAAGTGCCGATCATGCAAGAGTGACAACCCTCCTTCAGCTTTTGGACCTAGTGATTAAGCGAGTGCATCCGAGGACTCGTTGGTGGAGGGGCTCGACTCAAAAAAAAAAAAACGTCCGTCCTTTGCCATGACCACGTCACATCGCCATCCACGTCTGAGAGATCCAAGCGGATCCCATGCGCGCAGCCCGGGTCCTCTCGATCTTAGCGTATGCCAACCTTGCACCTAGATCAAGACCTCAACCTTTTAATGGCCTTTCTCTGATTGGCTCGATCTCACTCAACCTTCCCTGTCCAACTCGTACTGTCGAGGCATGTCACTGTTCGCAAGGCTGTTCGAGCAAGCCTCGGTGGGGACTTTCGTCCAGATCCGCCCAAGATCACCGCTCTTGAAGGATGCCCAGCCGCTTCAACGTGGGGATACAGTCCGTATTAGCATCCGCGCCTCGGCAGGCTTGCCAACAACATCTATCAACATGATATATAACACACAGCAAGACTCGAGCCTCCGGTCATCAGCGAGTCATCATCTGAAACAGAGAAATCAAAATGGAAAACATGACATCGCAACATGAACTGGCTCATGCAACCGGGCGAGCTTCCGAAGCCCCCAAGCCTCTCAGTCAAGTAATCCCTAATAAATATGCCTCGTGAAAAATAAAAGCTCCGCAGCCCATAGTAAACGCCCTCTTCCGTCTTGTACACTTCAAAAATGTCGAGTTCATGCTTCCCGGAACGAAAACGCCTGGAGTTCTTCCATGCCTAGACCCCTTTTCCCGTTTTTTCTTTCGGTTTATGCTTTAAACGCAGCATGCCACTTTGTATTGTATGTCTCAAGTTCCTTGTCGCAAGCTCGGTCTCCAGACTTGGTGCAGCCGGCGGCGCGCACGACAAGATCGCCGTCCACGAACATCTCGCCCTTGTCGTATCTGTTGTATGAATTGAACGTCTTCTGAGGTACAATCGCTAGTCGAGAAAGAATAGTCGGGTGCCATTGAACAATGTGTTCCTGTAACTACTTGTCAATACGATGATCACTTGCGACGCAGGTATAAGCAACTTACCAAAGCGTGTCCCTCAGCCTTCTGAAAGTTGTAAGACCGGTATAGAGGGTCGAACCACGTGTCAATGAAAAACTTCGCCCACTCTCCGTTCCGGACGAAGAAGCTCCCCGCAGACAGACCCTCTCTGTCTTGCGTGAGAACGAAGTCGATGTCGTTGCCCTTCAAGTGAGGGAACGTCTTGATGATGCTGTCGGGGGGTACGACCGGGTGGTCCTTGATCATCAAGCTCTCGATCTTGTCCGCCTTTAGAAAAAGACTCTCTAGAGATTGGGTATTCATGATGTACGAATCCTGGTCAAGATACCAGAACCAGCTCGCCTCGGGATACTTCGTGATCGCGTGCCTCAGAGACACAACTTTGTTCCATGACGCCGGGGAACCTTTGAGATCGTAGTCGCCAACCTTCGTGAACATCACTTCGTAGCCTGCGCGGGGACCATCAGTGGGTGTACTACCTCAGGAGTTATGTTTTCAAACATACCATGCAAGTCCGCATACTGTTTTCTGTTATCACGAATGCTCGCCAGGTAGTTCTTCCCGTACGTCGTCTCGTCCAGATTCGTGACAATCACCACAGGGGGGTTGCCCGATGGTGCGCGAGGCGCACTACTGGTCTTGAAGGCTCCGGAGAGAAGGTAGATGAAGCCAAGGAATGCGAGTGCACCGACGGCGATGACCTTTGTCCTGCTCCTTCGAAGAATCGGTGGTATCCTCGACGATCTCGCCCTGAAAGGTGGCGGATTGGAACTCTTTCGTGGAGGGTATGCGAAGTGCATTGTGTCGGATTAGTCGATTATGGGAAGGATGGGTCGCAGAGGTTCGCAATCGAGCGGATGCGCTGTCTGCAAGACCTGCGCAAAACCTCGTCGGCTTGGTTGGTAAGAACAAAGGTCGTCGGGATGCAAATTTCGCGGGTTTCGAACACGAGACTGTAGGCTGACTGGCGCCCGTTGCGACTAGAGTCTTGGCGACGAAGGAAAGGAGGGAGAAGTCAACGAGTGTCGAGGGTCGTAGGGCGATCGTAGGGCGTCATTCAAAGTGTCGCATAACGTCAAGGACTTGGGCAGTCGGGGCGACGACACCTCGGAGAGCACAGATATCGAAAAGCGATGGTTCGTGCAAGGGGTAACGGCGAGCGACCAAAGAGTAATGGCTGCTGAACACGAACTCGATGGCATCGCTTCGTTTAATTCAGGTCCACTCAGTGAGCATGAGATCTAGCTCATTGACAGGGACAGGCACTGATTGGCTCGCTCGGGGAGAATATGATCCGTATAGTGATCCCCTGAGGCCCGTGCCCTGCTTGCTCAGGGTCGCAGCGGCGGCCCCCACGGTCCCAAGGGGGCCAGCCTGCATTTGCGGGGTGAGATGACGCGGTTCAAGCTTACTGAGATGCCTGGCTGTCATCCCAAGTCGTGTTGTAGCAATGATTTTCATAATTTGAACGGGAAACACATGTTGATTCAGTATCCTTTCACTGTATTTCATAGATGGGACAGATATGCTTGAAAATAATCTCTTTTGGTCAAGTAAAATTAGTCGTCAATGCCTGCAGCGACAATGCGAATCGTGTATCAGTTTGCGCTTTTGGCAACCCAAAGGAATCGACAAGGCCAATTCAAATGAATCGACGACGAGGTCGAGGGTAGCCATCAGCTGGATTCGAGTCGACAAAACGCCAACTACTTGAAAACAACCTGATGTCGTCCGAATATCCAAAGTGAATCTGGCCAAAACGGCCAGAAACAAGAACATGTCGGGGACTTGATCTCCGCACACAGACTAGTTGACACGATATGGAAGAGAATCTTCGAGGCAACTTAAGAGTGTGCGGGTGAGTGTACTCATGAGAACATGCAGACGTATCAAGCGGAATCTGTTCAAAAAATAACAGCCGTTGTATTGTCCATAAGCATCCGTCCTACGTTAGTCCTTCTTCGTTTCTTCGTCGTCATCGTCGTCGTCACCACCCACGTCAAAAACCCGGTCGCTCGCCTTTTGAAGCGCGGAAGCACTGAATGCCCTCACGGCTTTCCACACACCCCACATGAAGGTGACGGCACCAATAATGACGAGCCCGATGTTGATGTTCTCAACTCGCGCGCGGCCTGTTCCCCCACGGCGTCCGGTCGAGCCAAGAAGACCGCTAGATCGAATATTCCACCACTGCCACGGCGTCATAGCAAGGAGAGACTTTAAGAAGCCGAGGAGACCGAGGGAGAAGAACCCCTTGAGGAAGTGTTCGAGCCATGTTCCAGGCTCTTCCGATTCCGGCTCGTGAAGCGCTTCAATGTCGTCCAACACATTCGCGACCGTGTCAGCGATTGTGCCCATCGGATCACTCCACAGGTTCAAAATGGGGTCGGCGATGAATCCGAGGAGGAAGACCGAGAAGATGAAAATGAGGATGGTCAGTAGAATCTGCGCATAAGCGCTCGATAGACGGTTTGCCCACGAAAGCCGCTCAAGTTTGTACTGATAGCCACAGGTCGGGCATGAGAAGAAGTTCCGATTGGCAGTCGAATCAGCGTATCTCCAAGCCTGCAAGCAACCCTCGTGAACGTAACGTTGAGACCCCTTGCACTTGCATGGTGAGATGAGTCGTCCACACTCAGGGTCGTCAGACTTGTAGGTCGGCCGCGGTGGTGCGTTCATGAATCCGCTCATAACCCCAGGTTCTTCAAAGGTAGGATGAACAACGTCGAAGCAGATGCGACATACTCGCGGGCCATAGTATCTTTGCTTGGGCTGAGGCTCGGGCTGTGGCTGTGGCTGTTCCTCCGTGGTCTTCTTCTCGTTCTGGCCCTCAAAGCTGCTAGATTGCGACGCTTCGGCTGCGTCGGCTTTCGCGTGGCCTCGCTCTCTGGGGAGGTCAGACGGCCAACTCCACTGAGGCGTGGCCGACTCCATCGCGGCGACAACGATGGAATATGTGACTAGGATTGAATAACTTTGCGCCGGCAATGCGCGGGATGATGTCTGGGTTGTGAGATCGCAGCGGGCAACAAACAGGTAAAAATGAAACGATGCAGGGAAATGCTCAGAGCGTTGGTGCTTGCAGTCGTGGGATTGGTGTTTCGCTTGGCTCGAGTGAACCCCAAAAGACAGCACCTACATGGCAGGAAGGAAGAAAGCGATACACCAGGCCATCTGTCCTTTCGAAGATGGCGCCAAGCTCTTGGGTTTTCCTGGACGAGAAAGGCCGTCAACTGAGTGTGTAGCAGGCGTAGAGAAAAGAATATTCCAGCACCACTTTATTCTGAGCTGGCTTCGGCTGGTCATAGCTTCCGTGCCTTTTTGATTATGTCAGCTGGATTGGAGCCGTTTTTGCCCGGATCAACACCCCAACCGGCCAAGTCACGTGCCTCCACTTCCCCAGGCGGCGAGCGGACGGTTGGCAGCTTGACGCGGCGCGAGTTGCCTAGGAGGGAGAGCTTCATAGCTCCGACAGCCTCACCTCGTTTGACCGCAGCCAATCCACCTTCCATCCTCCCCGTCAACACCACCCTCGAAAACACACATCGACTGTACAATTCAACAGTCAAGCCATGGCCGACCGCTACTCCTTCTCCCTGACGACGTTCTCGCCCAGGTGAGCTGCTCGATCCACTGTGTGACGTCTACATGCTAACTTGGTGCAGCGGCAAGCTGGTTCAGATCGGTATGCTGAGATCCTACCCCTCCATTGATTGCAGTTCTAGCGTCAATTTGATCGAGTATGCACGGGACGGAGCTGATTGAAAATTAGAGTATGCTTTGAACGCCGTCAACCAGGGTGTTACCGCCCTTGGTATCAAAGGCAAGCTTGCCTGCCCCTCCTTCCCTAAGCCCATGCTAACCCCACGAAGCCACCAACGGCATCGTCCTCGCGACCGAGAAGAAGTCTTCATCCCCGCTCGCCGACCCCAGCTCGCTGTCCAAGATTAGCCTCGTCACCCCGAACATCGGCATGGTCTACTCCGGCATGGGCCCCGACTACAGAATATTGGTGGACAAGGCCCGCAAGGTTTCGCACACCGGCTACAAGCGCATCTACAACGAGTACCCCCCCACGCGGATATTGGTGCAGGACGTTGCTCGTGTGATGCAGGAGGCAACTCAATCTGGTGGTGTCCGTCCCTACGGTGTCAGCTTGCTCATCGCTGGCTGGGATGAAGGTATCCTGCCCGAGGACGAGGCCGAGGCCCAGGAGGGCGAGGAGAAGAAGGCCACCGGCAAGACTGGTGGTACTCTGAAGGGAGGACCCATGCTGTACCAGGTTGATCCTTCTGGCAGCTACTTCCCCTGGAAGGCGACGGCTATTGGCAAGAGCGCCACTTCAGCCAAGACGTTCTTGGAAAAGAGATACACGGAGGGCTTGGAGCTTGAGGACGCCGTGCACATTGCGCTGCTTACGCTCAAGGAGACCATTGAGGGAGAGATGAACGGAGAGACCATCGAGATTGGTAAGTTGAAAAGCGCTTGCGGCGAGTGATGAAGTATCTGACCCTTTTATAGGTATCGTTGGACCCCCGGCGGACCATCTGCTCGGCATTGACGGCGTTGAGGGTGCCAAGGGCCCCCGATTCAGGAAGCTCAGTCCTCAGGAGATTGAGGATTATCTCACGAACTTGTAATGCACGTCTTGACTTTATGGGTCTTACCCTTGTATCATAGAACAGCATAGAGACACGGGAGCAAAGAGGACCTCCGGGCTCTAGAATCAATGGATGACCTGCGCGATGACCACACCTTACGAGACTAAAATGCTTGTGAGTGCCCTCGTTTCAACAATCCCAATTCAAACGCCCGCAGGACGGATTCCAGACATACAATGATTTATGAAGAACGTTCTAGTCTCGTCCAGGCGATCCGGCTGTCAAAAAGCTTTAAGGAGGAGCTTGGGTTGAGGCAGACGCACCCCCCTCAGGCACCAGCTTACGCTGACTGCCGATTGCCGAGTCGACCGCTTTTCTTTCCTGCAGGACTACTGCCCGGCTGATAGCATCTGAAACCACCGGTAGCTTTGCCGCATCGATGCAGAGGACGAATTGTTCACCTGATGGCCCAATGTAGGAAATGACGGCATTTGGAGAAGATGGTCATTCGTAACCTGCCTAATGGCAGGCAGATGACACAAGTTGACGGCCGTCTATGGATGTCTAGACCGATCAGGGTCCAGTCAACCACCCCTGCAAGCATGGTCGTCGTGCATTGTGGTTGCAACTTGCAGGAGGGTGACACAGGCCAGTAAGCTCAACTTCACCCAATCCACCCTCCATGTCGGACTCTTATTTGTTTATGAAGCCTGCCTTGAAGCGCGAAACTGCATGCGACGGGCATCTTGAGAAAAGAATCATACCAACGGCCCTGCATTTGCAGGTTCTTTTGAAGGCGCTCTACAAGCATGACCCAGTTATTGCTGTACTTCGCCACGCTGCTAATTTACAAATCCAGGAGAGGGGTAACATCCCGCGTCTTGGTTCCTAATTGCGTCGGCTCCGAGACGGCTTCATGACAACAGGTGGCTGGATGGAAGCCTGAAGGCAACGGTGTCTTGAAGAAGAAACCAAGAACGAACGCATGTGCTGCAGCACAACCTTGGCTGCGTTGTCTCTGGTGTCGCCATCGTTGTTGCCTTGTGTCGGCGAACTCAGAAATGTGTTGGCCTCAAGAGTCAGCAAGACGCAAGCCAAGTGCCGGGACATATTGGGAAGTCGGCCAGGCAGTTCTCGGGGTTCCGGACGTTTAAGGCCGTATCTTTGTTCGGCAGCGGACCCGACTGGGCATGGTCCAAAGCCGGGGTGGAGGCGGGTGATTGTGGACTAGAACCCAGTCAGCGGCATTACCGTCCGAACGTGAACCGCCAGAGTGGTGCTGCCGATAGTGTGTCTCGGCGGTGTTCTTGGAGCCTGGACGGAATACTACGCAGTAGGTACTGAGTTGAAGCTTGACAGGTACCTTGTTTTTTTTTGTGCAACACGAGTTCCCCGAGACCACGGGGTAAGCTTGCCGGGGTTTGTTGTCAGATTCGTAGTTTCTTTCCTCCGAACCACATCATCGATGGATCCTGCCAGTGTTGCCGGGTCGGCACCCAAGCCTGACTCTACGAGAAGACTAATCCCCATGTCGCGGGGAATTTCGCCTGTTCCTGCTTACAATCCTTAACAACGTGCCGGCAGCATATCGTGCGCCAGGAGTCACAAGTGGTGATTTTTGAGTCTTGCGAGCCCGCCTCATTTCCCAGCTGCTCCATTATCTGCATCATGATTCACCTTCGTTTTTTGCTCCCTGGCGAAGGAGCCCAAGCAAAGCTTCCCGCGCGGTCATGTCCAGTATGACACCGTCTGTCAACTTATTACCGCCGTGCGTAAGTGGTTGCGAAAACGACCACGTCCTCAACAACAGCAGCAGAATGGTGGGCCTCCTGCAGGACTCGGAGGACACAAATACGCGCAGCGCGAGTGGATTGCGAGTGCAATTCCAAGGTCTTGCTGTTTATTCCACTTCCACTACTGAATCACAGTCGCGGCCGCTCCGTCGACGCATGGCGCCAAAAGGTCGGGAATATCTGACCTTGAGACTCTGACTCTGTACCAGGCACCATCGCCTTGGGTTGCTGCCCACCCATCCTCTCCGACCCTGGTCCTTCTGCCTACACGCAAGCGCTTGCGCTGTTGCAACCAGACTCGCGGCACCATCCACAATTTTTTTGCATTTTCCACGACCAAGTCAGCATTTGTCGTCAGGCAGTCGTCGCCAATTGTATCTCAGTTACGCCCGGCTTGAATGATTGACATCTGCCTTGCTACCTGCTTCCCGTCGCACACGCAAGAACAGGAAGGGCATCGTCAACACACCACCACCCATCGCAACCCTGCACCTCACCGCACTGCACTGCATTTCACTGCGTCCCGCGAACCCATTCGGGCCCCGCACCACCCAACTGCTTAGGATTCCTCTACATGGCTAGGTTGCCCTTTTTGAGCCGCGTCATTTTAACCTTACACCCGATTCTCCCCCATTGACTCACGCCGTCCACCCCGCTGCCGGGGTTTGTCTCGTCATCGTACCTGGGTACCGTACGCTAGCCACGCTGCCGTGGAGCTTGGCTCGAGTCGTCGCCCGGGAAGTACCTCGCATCCCAGGACTCGACTCTAGCCACAGGACTGAGGACTTTCCGGGTCCCTGGTCAAGTCACACCAGTTCGTACCACCGTGGCACCGTGGTAATGGCTGACTATTCCCAATCATCTTCCGGCGACGGCACCGATCCATCAGAGGATGACCAGCACTCTGATGTCCCGGCCCCGGGGCCTCTTAACCAAGATGCCATCTCTGCTTCCGCCTCCGCCTCCTCCTCCGAGGAGTTGTTCCTGGACAATGAGGCTGCATTGTCTCCAGATGAGACCGCCTCAGGCACTCAGGTCATCATGAATTCGAGGGCTTACCAACTCGAAATGTTTGCCGAAAGCATGAGGCAAAACATTATTGTAGCTGTGAGTCTCTCCAAATAGCCAATTATTACTTAATAGATTCTAAGTCTTCATCAGATGGATACTGGGAGTGGCAAGACTCAAGTGTAAGTCCGGATCGAACTCCAAGACACCTAGTAACATGGTGCTGACCAGAGTTCAGTGCTGTGTTGCGAATAAAAGCAGAATTGGAGAGAACAGCAACCGAACAAGTTCGTAACTCCCAGACTAGTCTGTATCAACTAAGCTAATCAATGCAGATTGTCTGGTTTCTCGCTCCAACCGTGTCACTATGTGCACAGCAACTGGCAGTGCTCAAGTCTCAGATTCCCGCTGTCCAGATCAAGTTCTTGAGCGGCGACGACAATGTCGACTCATGGTCGGATCAGGCAGTATGGGATGCTGTACTATTGAATGTGCGCATAGTTGTGTCGACATACCAAATCTTGCTAGACGCCTTGTCTCATGCATTTGTACGGATGGAAAGGTTGTCTCTGATTGTGTTTGACGAAGGTATGCAACCCAGATCCCCCCTTCACCTCAACAGCTAACATGTCCATAGCTCACAACTGCGTCGGCAAGTCTCCGGGGAGCAAAATTATGACCAACTTCTACCACCCACATAAGCGCGACGAGCGACGAGTGCCTCATATTATGGGGTTGACGGCTAGCCCAACATTTGGATCAAAGGTCGAGAGCATCAATGTCCTCGAGTCAACGCTGGACGCCGTCTGCAAGACTCCTACAATGCACCGCGATGATCTGCTTGCTTGCGTCAAGAAGCCAGAGTTATCCTACGTCGAATTCCTCCCCAAGCCCGACTACAGAACCCCCAAGAGTTTACAAACTCTGAGGAATGCGATCCGAAACCTTGACATCTCGGAGGATCCGTTCGTTCTTCACCTGCAAGCCGAAGGCACCGATCGCAGCAAGCGGGAGCTCTTTGCGGTTCTTGAAAGTCATGATACCTACGTACACAACCAAATGACTTCATTTGGTCGCCAAGCGAATCAGATCTGTCGAGAACTGGGGCCATGGGCTGCTGAATACTACATCTGGGAAGTCATTACCAGATTCGACTCAGCGGTACGGTCACAGAGTAGATGGTTGGAAGCCTGGAAAGAAGACGAGAAGAGGTTCCTTGGCAAGATCCTCGGCCAGATCGAGTGCCGTCGCCCGTCACCGACTGAGATCAGTCGCGATGTTCTTTCGGAAAAGGTTTTCATCCTTATTGAGCAGTTGTTCCAGGATAAGTTGGACATCACTGGAATTGTTTTTGCCAAGGAGCGAGCCACTGTAGCCGTGCTGGGCCATTTGCTTACATCGCATGAAGCTTTGCGGGCTAAGTACCGGGTCGGCGCAATGATGGGCACATCGCAGTACCAGGCAAGAAAACGAGATATCTGGGACCTCTCTCGGACAGAAGACCTGCAGTCACTACACCAATTCCGATCCGGAAAAATCAATTTGTTGATTGCAACCAGCGTCCTCGAGGAAGGCATCGATGTTCCGGCCTGCAACTTGGTGATCTGTTTTGACAGACCACCAAACCTCAAATCCTTCATCCAAAGACGAGGACGAGCACGAATGCGTGACTCCAAGCTATTAATGCTACTCGACCGCTCTGAGACTTTCTCTCAAGAATGGGATTTCATGGAGTCCGAGATGAAGCGGCAGTACGAACAACAAGAGCGGGAGCTCGAGCATTTGCAACAGATTGAAGAGGCGGAGGAACTGGCAGAGATGCAGTTTAACGTTGAGACAACGGGCGCGCTTTTGGATCTCGACAACGCGAAATCACATCTTGATCATTTCTGCCGAATCCTGTCTCCTGGGGAGTTTATCGACTGGCGTCCTGACTACATTTTGAAGAAGCTTGACAACACGGATGCTCCTGATCTGAGGTATACGGTTGTTCTTCCAAGCTACCTTCCCGCCGAAGTACGATCTGCCGAAAGCAAATCAACGTGGAAGTCTGAAAAGAACGCGATGAAAGACGCCGCATTTCAGGCCTACGTAGCTCTTTATCGGGCAGGCCTCGTCAACGACAATCTTCTGCCCTTCAAGCCAGAGGACTTTGTTCCGGGAGTCGACAAGAGGGCTGCTGTTCTCCAGGTGAACGGTCTTTTGAATGCTTGGGATAGTGTGGCCAACGCATGGAAACGTGGAGACCCCCTGAGGGCAACCCAGATTCTGCTGAAAGATGCGAATGGGGATGTCCATACAGAGTACGAAATGGTGCTTCCCACTTGGATCCCCGGGCTGCGGACGATGCCACTTTATCTCGACTACCACACGACATGGTCAGTCGAATTTGGTGATCAGCTTCCGATCGAGGAGCCTGAGAACGGAGACCATACTGCTGTACTTCTCGCCTTGCCTTACGGCCATCGCTGGTTGTCGAGTCCGCTTCAGCAGGTAATCAGGTTTAGCGCAGTTGGTGCCGAACTTTCTCTGGATGGTATTGGAACGAAGCATTTTGTGCCAGGGGAGATGTCTGCACACGACCTCACCTGCTTCATTCGAGACGACACCGGATGCCCATACCTTTACGAAGGCATAATCGACAATAAGCCGACGCCCGACCTGGTGTCAAAGACATTCTACGGGTTCGAAAAAGCCCCTCAAGACGTTCCATATCTCACCCTCACGAAGTGGTCTCGACGATCAGACTTTCTTCACCGGCCACAGAGCGACCCCTCCCAAGCCCCGAGTAACCCAAAGCCTTACTCGCGTGTATACCCGGTTCCGATGGCAAAGGTTGATGCTATACCGGCGAAGTACGCACATTTCGGAGTGCTTATCCCATCCATTCTGCATCGGATCGAAACATGCCTTGTGGCCAAGGAACTCTCAACGACACTGTTGAGACCGCTCGCCATCGACGACTGGTCCCTGGTTCACACAGCCATCAGTGCTGGAAGTGCTGCTGAGCCTACCAACTATGAGAGGCTCGAATTTCTCGGCGACTCGATCCTGAAATTCTCTGCTACAATCAACGTGGCCGCTTTGAGTATGTGGACATTCAAGCAAACCCCCGGCAGAAGGCTGACATACCACAGATCCCGACTGGCCAGAACGGCTACTCTCCTTTAAGAAGGACAGCATCGTCGCCAACTCAACGCTCTGCAAGGCTGCAATCAAGCACGGCCTGGACCGTTTTATTCTGACGAAACCGTTCACGGGACAAAAATGGCGCCCGATCTACGTTGAAGACGTGCTCAAGCGCGGTGAAGATACGTCTACTAGAAGGATTTCCACCAAGACTCTCGCCGATATTGTCGAGGCACTTATTGGGGCTTCGATGATTGACGGCGGTGAAGACGGTGGCCTAAGCAAGGCACTGGACTGCATGTCCATATTCCTGCAACAGATCAAGTGGAGAAGAATAGATGACTGCAGACAGCTGCTGTACGACGTCGCTCCCAACAATGTCGAGCTGCCCTCAACCTTGAAGCCGCTGGAACAGCTGATCGGCTACGAGTTCGACAAGAAGTCTCTCCTGATCCAGTCCATGACGCACGCGTCGAGCAACTTTGGCAACCCCCTCGGCTGCCTCGAGCGCCTGGAGTTCATCGGGGACGCCGTCCTCGACTACATCATCGTCAACCGCCTCTTCTCCATCCGGCCGCCCCTCTCGCACCAGTCGATGCATCTCCTTAAAACGGCAGTCGTCAACGGCGACTTCCTCGGCTTCCTATCCCTCGAGCAGTCCGTCGAGCAGGAAGAGGTCGTCATCGGCGAGATCCGTGACAAGGTGCCCGAACTCAAGCGCTCTCGCTTCACCCTGCCGCTATGGAAGTTCATGCGCCACCAGTCCTCGGCCGTCGGCCTCGAGCAGATCAACATTGAGAAACGGCACGCCGAGATGCGCGGGCCCATCATCGACGCCATGGAGCATGGCGCGACGTACCCCTGGGCCCTGCTCGCGCGCCTGCAGCTGAGGAAGTTCTACTCGGACATTTTCGAGTCGCTCCTCGGCGCGGTGTGGGTCGACGCCGGGGACATGAAGGTCTGCGAGCAGGTCGTCGAGCGGTTCGGCATCCTGGGCTGTCTGGACCGCATCCTCCGCGACAGTGTGCATTGTCTCCATCCCAAGGAGGAGCTAGGCCATCTCGCCGATAAGGAGAGCGTGCAGTACGTTCTGAGTTACAAGGAGCTGGAGAACAGGGAGCGAGAACTCTCTTGCAAAGTCATGGTCGGCACCCGCTGCGTCGTCGAAGTCGATAAGGGTGTTACCAAGGACGAGGTCAAGGTCAAGGCCGCAGAGGCGGCGGTGCGCATTCTCAAGGCGGAAAAGATGCAAAAGATGGCGGCACAAAAGGACCCTGACGGGGACACGGCGATGGGCATCGAGAACGACGATGCTGACTAGTGGTTGGCGCCATCTGACGAGGAGCTCATCGACCAATCTGAAAAGTTGAAAGATTACAAGCTTCAAGAAGAGAAATGGGAGAATGGATACAAAAGTACGCGCATGGAAATGAAGGGCTAGACTATGAAAAGTAATTCTTTGTATTGGGCGTCTGGTATGATAGGGCATTTCCTACCCTGTAGAGGATACGTAGACATCGAAAAGTGACAGACAAAGCTAGGAGAGGGTATATCTGGTTCCACCACTAAACTCCTGATGAAAGGAGGAAAACACCATCGTCAACATCATAACCGTGAAGTAGTGAGTACTAGCGCCTGCGCCCACAGCAGATACGTCAAATCTTGCGCTTAAGAAGTCACGCAACGAAGTCGCCCTCGAAAAAGCAAAACGAAAAAACGAAAAGAAAACAGCGCCGCAAGTTCCCGTTGTCAAGCCGGGTGTCAAAATCAGGAAAGAAAACTATGCAACAGTGTTGCTCCGGAGAGACGAGTCGTTGTCAGAGTCACTGTCAGAGCTCGACCCGTCGGACTCGCTGTCAGAGCCCAATTCATCGAGCTCCGGTGGTGGCTTCTAGTCATCCGTGAGATCGATCGCCTCGCGCTTGTCGTCGATTCTGACTTTCTTCCACTCGCGCTTGGTTGGCTCTTCGGTCAGATCATAATACTCGGCAAACTCGCGTTTGATGACGGCCCTGGGCTCCCGCTTAAGGGTTGGTGACCGACGATGATGCTTCATGTATGTTAGTCAGGCTCGATGGGTTGCTTGAGGAAACAAACGTTAATATCCTCGAGTCGCTCTGCAGCCAACCGGCGGATCTCCGCTTCGGACAGGGCGTTGATTCCTTCAGGAGTGGGAGACCGGGGGATCACCAGCTCCTTGTGGAGAGCATCTGTTCCAAGGTTAGTTTTGCGACATCCTAACCACAACAACAGACAACTAGCCTCGACTACGGTATTTGAAAGAAAACGCCGCCAACGGTTCTCGGGGATAGAAATCAACTGAGACGGTGCTTGTCTGTGGAATGAGTCCGCCGTCGGAGTATCTGTAACTCATCAGCATCAATCATCCAAAAGAAATAGAGCTCGCGGACAACTCACGCAGTCCCATGCGACACAGCCCGACCCTTCAACGCCTTCTCGGCAACCTCAAAGTCCCTATCGCGGGTCGGCCGATGCGATCTGTGAGTGGGCCGATTCGCCCTGACGGAGCAGCCGTAGACGTAAACCTTGATCAGACCTATGCGCTTGAAGTCCTCAATGTCTCTTGCCACACGATCCTTCCCCGCGTCATCAACTGCGCATACCATTAGCTTTGCGCGCGCATTGGCGCAGCGAGACAACGTACTAGTCGTAATTTTGGAAAACTTGAATTTCCTCATGGAATCCATACCGGAGTGCGCCGACGTATGGCGCGTGCCTGCTACACGGTGCGTCCATACCGGTGAACCTGGGGGGTACCGAGCGGATTCCCAGAGGCAACTATCCATCTGGGCGCCGTCGATGGACAAGTAGATTCCAAGGGCATCGTACCTGGACAGCTGTCCGTAGGTGTTATCGAGGTGGTAGACAACTGAGAAAGGCGAGTCATCTTTGGACTCAATGTACTTGAAGCAGCGATTGGTTGCACGTCTATTGTTCTTGTCCTCGGCGGGGCCGTCCTCGTCGTTGTACTCTTGAGCCTTGACGTCGTTGACCTCGATGGCAACCTTGATGCCGGGGAGCTCGTTGAGGACCGCCATCGTCGCTGATGGAAGAATGGAAATGGCTCCAAAACTTAGAAAACCAGCTGTACTGGGAATTCCGACGGGCAAGGAGATGCAATTTGATGTGTGAGGCTGAGGTTGATGGCACGAACACGTGTGGAAAGGACGTTGAGGTAGTTCACAGTGTGAAGTGGAAGATGAGGCAGGCAGGCGTTGGGATGCGCCTGCGCTGTGATTGGCTTATTTGCGTGAAGTGTGGGCCCGTGCCAACTGCATCGACGGCGTCCTAGTATATGCTAGTGCGCCATCGTCCGCCAAAAGCTGACCTTGAGAGCCTTTGTTGCAAGTCTCTTAGGTTTGAGTACCCACGGGAGCAAGTTTCTGATATTTGGAGGTCAGGAACACAGAATGTCTTCGCAAATTCCATCTTGAGTAGCGCCGGGTACTTACCTAGATAGGTATGCCGCACTCATTAACACAACGAGGAACTGCAGGTCTTCAGAACAGAATTTATTACGTTTAATCTTAATACATATATTTCAAAGACAGCGTCTCCAACATTCGGCATTGTGGGGGATCAAGCAACTTCATGAACAGAAAACAGACCTGTGGAACGAGACATCCAAACGTGCCGAGATGTGTTGGCCCGTAAGTCGGTCTCCAATTCGGCGAGGAACAACTTGTTGTAAGGGATACCTGCAGAAACACTCTAACATTCTTGCTTCTGAACTACAATCCTCGGTTGCAGCCAAATTTTCGTTCATTCGTCGAAACGTTGCAACTTCTCACACAACTGGTTGGCTAAGAAGTGCTGAGGTTGCCCAAGCTTGTAGCAATGTGACTTGCCTCACTGACTCAAAATGTTCAAGCTTTACAGGAAGGAGGATAATTTGCCAAATCACTGCTTTTCTTTTCTTGCTAAGGTGGGAAGCTTCTAACCTGCCGCTGGTCGGACAGGGGTTTCGGCAAGGGCAAATGCAAACGACAGGAGCCAGGCCGCTCTTTCCCTTTGGAAAATTTGACTTGGCACCTTCCGCGTTACCTCTCTTCTACTGCATCAATTTCGCGCGTCATTTTATCATTTCCGATTTCTGCAACCTGCCGTGCAGTCAATCTGTTCTGGGCCTTGGTCATCCTTCATTCCGGCTTTTCACAGTGTAGGACTCGACCAGCGATTCTCCAGGCAACTTCCTCCTGCCACTCAGCACTCGCGATGGTTGTCATTGAGGATCTTCCCCAGATCAGGGTCGCTGTCCGCATGACTGGCTCGGATAGCGATTGTGTCGAATATGACGATCCAGATCCTCCAATCACACCGTCAGGTGGTGGCACTGCACAACACTCCGTCGCAAAGATCACCCAAAGCGAAGACGATGCGGAATTCTTCGTACACTACCGTATCGAGAACAGTTTGGGTTGGTATGGTAGCGACAAGGGTCTGGCAGTGACCTGCTACATCGATGGCAAGCGCATGGATTCAAAAGCTGCGATGGAGAAACATCTGCGAAATGGGTCTATCCACGGACGTATAACTGGAGTGGCGGTTCCTTCAGTAAGACCTGGGAAGATAACCATGAAGAATTTCAAGTTCTCAAAAATCACCAGAGGTAATTGCTCCCCTGTTTTATTTCCTTTCGTCTTGCATCCATGGAATTTGGCTCACATCAGCAACGCAGTTGAGAACCGCAAGGATAAGCTCAAGGAAGATATGGAAGCTGCCAAGCATCTAGGGGTTATAGAAGTTGTTGTGTGTCGCATGGTTTATCTCGGACCATCTCAGTTTCGAGCACAAAGCGTCAATTTCCAATCGGAGCTGGCCAAAAAGGCTCTTATCAAAAGCACCGTGACACACGGTACCTCGTATGACCCCTTCTCGGCACAGTTTTTGACTCCTCCTTACTCACAACGCGCAGTTTTACCGAGGGAAAAGACGTCGAACCGCCTGAAAGTTTTGTTACCAAGTATCCAGACGGAGATCGGCTCATTGCTCGGTATTTTTTCAGGTACAAGTCCGGGACCATTCTCGAAAACGAAGGCATCATCCAGCGTGACGATTTGCCGGAGGCTTCTGAACCTCCTCGGCTCTCGCCGTTGCATGATAACCTCACCATCGATGATCTGTCCCAGGAGAAGATCAGGCAGCTGGCCCAGGAACGTCTTGACGATCTTCATGTGAGTTTTGACCTAGACGAGTAGCAGTCTGTTACTGACGAAGCTCTAGGCCGTGAAACGAGAGGAGAAATTGAAGAGAGAAGGTAGCCCACACTCCGACATGCGACCAAGCAAGGTCTACAAGGTAGATCCTGATGGTGCGATTGACCTCACGGATGAGTAAACTCCAGCATACGATAGACGCAACATTGTTGGCTGGGCGCGTTTCCTCATTGTCAGGTGCAAAAGGGTCCCATTTGCTGTTTGTTATGGGTGATCATGGCTTATAAGAACAGAGTGCGAAAAGGAAGAGAATGTCATTGCAGTGCTGGCTTTGTTAAATAATTCATGGGATCAGACAACCTAAATCAGACTCTTTTTTTTTTTTTTTTTTTTTCAATTCGTCTTCAGCGTCTCCATTAACTCCCACATCGAGTCACAGTCTGCCTGATACGCATGGGAAATATCAACGAAAGGCGGGGTACAGCAGCTATAAGATGATGCGTCGTTGGGGAAGTTAGAGGCCTGAAGTGAACATTTCAAAAGGCAATATTAAAATTGCCGGGAGGGGGAAGATTGCATCTGCTCGATATCTTCTCTTTGCGCCTTAAGCTGCACTACTCTATTACTCCGTCGAAAAGGATAGCGGCCGGATATGAATCTTCTACTGGAATAACAGCCCAATGAAGTAACTTGAAAAATGCCGCGCCGTGTCGCATTAAACCTGCAAAGCAATTTGTTCCGCCCAATGACCCCTCTTCCTACAATCGCCCTTGAGAGCCCAGACAGGCTGACTTCTTGTCTTATGGAACACATCTCACTCCGCAAGTTCTTAATCGACGTCATTGAGGCCAGTCAATGGACCAGCCGGAGTATAGAACCGTGGCTCCTGTTGCTGGGCGCGGGAATCTTCAGTAGGTTCTTCATATTCTAAAGCCATGATCTTGCTCGGCTGGAGAGGAGACTCGTCCCCAAACGCCGAGTGGGCGCTTCTCTTTCGCGAGGTCACGATGTCACTGACATCGGTAGACTGAAACGAGACACCCTCGTCCTCAAGATCGTGATATATCGACTGTACGTCCACCTTCTTTCGTATGTTAGACAGAGGTTCGAGAGGAGCATACGCTTGGTCAAGCATCTGCTCGTTACTGTCGTCTTCGAGGAGGGTCATTCTCGTGTCATGAGGCAGGCCTAGCGGTTTCGAAGTCGGTTTCGGGACCGGCGAGGAGGAGAATTTCATTAAATCCTCATCTTCGGATTGCTCGCTTCTCGTAGCAAGCATTGCCATGCGCTCTGGGTGCATTTGCGCGTCACCGAGGTGCATCAGATCCTTTTCCTTCTCGGCTTTCACCCGTACTGGTGTGGTAACTGAGTCCATCGTTAGCATTATTCTGGACCCAACTTTGAAATACTTACCATATCTGAAGCTGAATCGTCCAATGGGGCATTCCTAGTTCAACCGTTGGACCTGATAGGTTTCAACATCTCTCTTGTAATACCTCTCGCCAGTGGACAAGCTATGTTCTGAATTAGCTGGAGCTCTCGGAGAAGCCGTGCCGTATTTGGTGGAATGGTACCTAATGCCACGGAAGAGCTCTTCCATAGGTAGGTAATCCGACAGTTCGTCTTGCTCCGGAGGACCAAGAAGCTTCACTAGGAAGAACTCCACGCGGATCAAGCCGGTCGCAGGACCTTCCCCGTCTTCAACGCCTTTGAATTGAAACTTTCGCAGCCGCGAAGTCTCGCCCACACTCCAATCCACAATCCCTTGGTAATTGAGTGGCAGCGAGACTGACGTCTTGGCAGTGCTGAAACCTTTTCGACTAACGAGTCGGCGCAGAACCTCCAATCCGTCCATTTGGATCAATATCATGATACCACGGTCAGCATGGTCGACGAGCCGGCGGAAAGTATCACTGAGACGGATGTTGACAGAAAATTCGCCCCGTTCTTCGACTTCGATTAACCGGTAACAACTGTACGGTGCGTCATGGCTCGTGTTTGCCAAGGTGTCCGCAAGCTCTATCACATCTCTGCCGTTTACTTCAATGGCGACGTCAGCTTCGAGGTGCAGACTGAGGCCGACCATGATGCATCGAACGTCTGCGCGTCTCGCCGTAGAGTCGAACGTTGTCTCGGAATATGAATTTCTTCACGGGGTGACTGCGGTCTCTGCAAGGTTGTCGAGGTCAATGAAGGGAAGAGTTAGTTTAAATGTGTAAGGAAAGGGTGCAGCGGGGGTTGGGGGGAAGGTCACACCCTGGCAGGCGCGCATCGGCAAGTGCCTGCTTGGGTTGTCTCGTAAACCCATCAACTTTCTTGCGGAAGGTGCTGATGGCAAACTGCACTTTTTGGACTTCAGAAAAGAGAGCTTTCCATCGTTATATTAGGAGATTAATGTTCAATATTGGAAAGTACTTCGGATTCATCTAACTACTGCTAAAACGACTCTGGATCACTAATCGACCGCCGGACGGGTTTTCCGTCCACATAAACGATTAAGCCATCTCATAAGGAAATCATTTCCATCATCGTAAGAAAGAAACGTTCTTAAATGCCAAATCGACCCCGAAATTCCCCAAGCCGACCTCGGATCACCTGCCTGAACCAAGTCCGGAACCACAGGTCGAGGATTTTCTTGCAATATCCATAGAGGTCACCCTCCAAGGATGACAGAAGTCCTGCAGTCCAAAGCTTCCCAAAGCTTCAGAAATCATCAGTGAGATCTATAGCCTCTTGGCCTGTTCCCATCTTGATGATCTTGTAGGGACGAGCAGGCGGGCTGTAATCCTGGGTAAGGTCGCAATAGTCATCGTAGCTGCGCTTCTTGGAGGATCCACACAATTTCTGATCCTGAAAGTAACGTGAGCGCCAAAGCCTCCAAGTCAATGCCAAACGCTTACCCTGAGCTGCCTCAACCGATCACGCGCGAGTCTCTCGATTTCGTCTTGATGTAGCTCCTCGAATCTTGGCAAGCCGGGCTCTTCGAACCGAACCGACTTCTGAGGAGACGTTGACTCCGGGCTAGGTGTTCTTGGAACGATTTCTTCAATCCTGAGAGCGTTCAGATCCCGGTATTTGAATGTGTACGTAGCCAACAACGGGCCGCTGCGGATCCGCTCGAATGCTGCTCTCTGTTCTCGGCGTGGCGGCCGCAAAGGCGCCTCGTAGGGTGGAGCAAAGCTACGCAGACTGTAATTAGTGGTGAACACAAAGGAGTTGGAGAACAAACTTACGAGGTGCCGTGTGAGATGGGACGGCCCTTCAACGCCTCTTCGGGAATATCAAACGTATCATACCGCGGCTCCTAGCGCGAAATGGGCGCATCTTGTCTGAATGTCCGATGAGGAATTCCAGATAACCTGCCCAGCCTGACCTTCACTTCGATCGTTCCGAGATCACAAGCGCGACGGAACTCCTGAGTCGAGGCATCCGCATCGTCTATTCACAGTGTTAGCAAAGCCCTCACACTAAACACGATGGTTTGAAGGACCACATACTCGTGGTGATGGATTCGAACTGGAAATCTCTCTGAACCAAGGCAGAGCGAGTTTCGTTAGGGTGTCTCTTTCCCTTAAAGGCGAAGTGCCATCGACGGTGAAAGAAGTCGTCGCTGTGGCAGAAACGTTTGCCCATGAATTGACCGTCAATGAAGAGGAAGAACATGAGTCCACAATCTCCATAGATCCAAGGATCCAGTGACATATCGTCCATGATATTGATGTGGACGGAAAACTCAACTCCATTCTGGCTCTCGATGTAGTTGCGGGAGCATCTTTCAAAGTCCTCGAAGTATCGGTCGCGCAACTGGTACCCGTAAGGGTCGGGGTATTCATCTGCGTCTCTGAAGGATGTTCTGAGACGAACAGATACCTTAACGGCAGGCAAGGTGTCGATGACCGCCATCTTGCGAAGTAGTCCCTGGTAGTCGAGGAGAAATGGTCCGCCAAGCCGAAAGGGTCGAATATGAACAAAATCGTACACACAAAGTGGTGATCAAGTCATCATCCCCGGGCGACAGGAGAGGAATGGGAAAGGAGGAACAGAAATAGCTGGTGGATAGAATAATGATGGGAAGGGAAGATAGAGAAGGTTATGATGGCAGAGATGATGGAGGAAAGTATGAGAGATAGAGACGAAAGAAAGAGGTGGACTGCGAGAAGGAAGGCAGGACGTCGCTTATGGGTGTTTGGAGGGGATAAAGATGCGTCGTCGGCGGAAAGACAGAGAAAGGAGAATCCAACAGGTGCTTTGGGCCACAAATCTCTCAAATGAGGCAACTGCCCGAGGTGCTGCCCTTGGAGGAAGTCGTACTTGCCCGCCTCGTTCGGCCGACCTTCCGCGCTTGCAATCGTGGATTTGGGGAAGGAAAGCCTTACTGGGCAGGTACCCCTTATTGACTTAAGGTACTTTCCACTAGTTTAGAAAGACTGACTATTTTTTGTGTAGCGAACATTCTCCCTGACAGCCTGATGTAGTTCTACCGTTGTTGCCAGTTCGCCTCTGCTGTCGTTGTCTATGCACGTATAGATACGGCCGATACTAATGAAGTTGGCACATAGGAAACATAGCTGCGGAAACACAGAAACATATCAGATTCAGAAGTCGGGGGGAAGTGTCAATTGGATAAACAGTAGAGTTTAGACATAAAAATGTCAGCATTTGAAAGTGATTAAGGCCGTTGACGATGTCGCTATGATTGCTAGACTTGGGGGTGTAAGTGAGACCCAACGGCGTTGACGTGCCGAGGTACGTACCGAAGTGCCAAAAAGCCACTGCTGCGACATCATCAGTGGATCCCCGTGCTGATGTAAGGCCGATGGTACCGCAGCCGGAGCGTACCTTAAAGCACCTTGACGCTACGAGTACCTGAAGGGAAACGGGGAACGTGGATCCAACCCCTGCAGCGCGACCCAAAGGGGAGCCCCGTCCGACTCGCAGCGACACCACCTGGAGCTAGCTTGCTCAACCTCCCGTCTCCCGCCAACCTGGAAGCCCATGACGCTCAATGCACCTCTCAGGACTCTTTGTCCATCTCTAGTCCACGCCGGCAGACGCGACGATGGTTGATGCCAGACATGTAATGTCCCGCTGATTCGTTGCAACACCAATCCGTCTTTTCCCTCTCCTCTCGTCTCCTCTCCGCTGGAGGAGCGCCATCATGTCTCCCGAGGCCTCCAGCAACAGCAACATCCGAGTCTTTATCCGCTGGCACGACCAGACTGTCTTCGCTGGCGAGGAGATCAAATGCACCATTACTTTTAAGAATATCGCTCGCGACTCCAGTCAACAACGCCAGTCCCAACTGCTCACTCCCACCGACCGCCCAAGGCACGCCTCGCCCTTACTGAGGGCCAAGTCAAACGCTGGCTTAACCCCGCCGAACTCTGCTCAGACACGCGGTCATCGATCAGCCCTGTCTCTCAACGTACCGGCTGCTCAAGCACGAAAGCGATCAGGCTCTGTTCCATGGCCGTCGCCCCTCACTCCTAATGCTGCCGAACATCGCGGCAACGGTCATCAAAAATCCGTCTCGATAGTGTCGATCGGCTCTACGAGCACCATCGCCGACGAAACTCAAAGCAATGCTAGCTCAACCAAGTCGCAACGGCCCGGCCGCGGCCATGCGCGCGCTTCGAGTCTCCAGATTGTCCCTCGCGGAGCTGCTCTGGGACTGGCAGGACCTCACTCTGGTAAGCCTCTCTGTCGCGACTGATACACTATTTCTGACTTGCCCAGCCTCCCCCAGACACATAAGCTCGCCCTTGTTTAACTCGACATCCGCCTCCGACACACCTCCTGCGACCTCACGATCCTCGACGTTTCCCAATGCGCAGAGTGCTGTTGGCTCACAACGCCCAATGAGGTCTCCCAATAACGCGCTGTCTGAATTTCGATTCCCGATGGTCCAGTCACCGCTCTCCGAGTCGACGACCACTCCACTGACGGCGAACCACGATGGCCTCTTGAGCCCAAATACCGATGCTTCCTCTGGCACAGCCGTGAGACCCAAGGAGGGCATTCCTACGATTATCAACGAACACACAGCCCCAGCCATGCGAATACTGTCCACGACAAGCATGGGTGGAGGCACGCCACGGAGCAGCGGAGAGTTCTACTCTATGAGCAATAATTCAACAGAAACTCTGGCTTCGGAGTACCCATCACAGCCCACAAGAGGACCTATGCGACCACCACACTTTAGGCGGCCATCAAACCTGGCGCACAACCCGAAGTTGCCGGAATCGTTAATGATGGGTTACGCGCAAATCCAAGGCTCATTCACGCTTGACGGGTCGCTTATCAATATTGGCCCTTTTGAACAAGTCAAGCGGAAGGCCGTTGTCGGCGGTCAAGGTGGTGGTGTCATCGGAGTGGAACCTTCGAAACGGGACAGTGGGCTGCTTCGAAGTTTCGGCTGGGGGAGTATCAGCAACTCAATTGGCGAGCTGCTCGGAGGTGGTGAGTTGAGCAGCATCAAGGACATGCGCGGCATCGCCAGTTCCAAGTCTGTTCCTTTGCTCTCAACACCTCAGTCCATCCTGTTCGTGGACCTCAACTTGGCCCCAGGCGAGCACAAGGCCTTTGAGTACTCCTTCCAGCTTCCTAAAGGGTTGCCACCGACACATAAGGGCAAAGCGGTGAAAATCTCCTATAGTCTGGTTATCGGCACGCAGCGGGCCGGCGGCTCGAAAGAGCAACAAGTGCGATCTGTGGAAATCCCTTTTAGGGTGCTCGGCAGCGTGAACAGTTATGGCGAGATTCTGGGTCATGACCTCATGAACCCGTATATTATACTTCGTGACCAGGCGAAGATCAAGACAGTCGACAAGCTGACGACACTCGGCGAACTAAAGAAGCTCAAGGCGACGAAGCCGGACACGTCAACCATCAACGACTTCCTTTCTTACGTAGACGAACTCATTTCAAGACCACACGATGGTTCTAGCACGGGCTTGCTCTCCCCCACGGCGTATCCTGGCTCGCGACGGTCATCGGCGTTCGAGGACGCGACGACCGCGACAGAAGCCATCAACATGGCCATCATGCGCAGCAACATTACTTCGGAGGGCCAGCAGAGCCCAAATCGCTTCGAGATTGCCCGCAACGGGCAGCGTGTAGGCGTAGTGATGCTTACGCGACCGTCTTACCGCCTGGGCGAAGTCGTCACCATGGCCATCGACTTCACGGACGCCGATATTCCCTGCTATGCCGTTCACTCATGTCTAGAGTCCGCCGAGCGAATCGAGCCTCACCTTGCCATCCGCTCAGAAGCGTCTATTCATCGAGTAACACGAAGAATCCACGTCGCGGCATCGGAAGCAACCCTCTACAACCGGCGGATGGTTTTCACCCCGACCATCCCTATCAACGCGACTCCCGAATTCGTCACCACCGGCGTGTCCCTGGAGTGGAAGATCCGCGTAGAGTTCGTCGTCCCGAGTCAGGAAACGGAACTCGAGCGGGAGTCACCAAGTACCCACCCCTTGCTAGAGGAGATCTCCCGCGATGAGAAGGGCGGGTTGGTGCTCGTGGCCGTAGAGAACCTAGCATGCGAGAGCTTCGAGGTGGCCGTGCCGTTGCGGGTGTATGGCGCCGTCGCAACGGGCCTGGAGAGGCTGGAGAGGGATGAGGCGTTCGAAGAGGGTCTCGTCGTCTGAGCTCTCTCATGATTATGGGCCCAAGAGACGTCGGACATGTAGAACAGGCAGAAAAGAAAAAAGAGACCGCCACGGCGTTCGTTGGACAGACAAAGCTTATCGTTTTTTTTTTCTTCTCTGTTTTTGGAACACGGCATCCCTATCGAATACAGATTTCAAGAGGCAACTAGTCGTGTTGGGGCGCGGGGGAATGACCCTCATCTTCCATCTTCTTTTGCTTCAACTTATCTGTACATGAGACGCAATACGACGTTGCCCCAGTCTGGGCTTTTCCTGACTGAGATGACATGCCTTCCATGACCTCTACTGGTGTGTCTTTGGGTCTACTGTTTCGAATGAGACTTACGGTGAAGAGGACAAGGATCACGATGTCACAAAAACAAAATGTCAAAAATTTCAAAAAGCGGAAACCTTCCCGCCTGTAGTATTTCTGTCGCAAGTAAATGTGCGCGATCCAGAAGCGAGGATGTAAAACAAACAAGAAGTAGCCCAAGGACGCGATATCAGCATCCAATTGCCGCCCCGGCTCCCACCATTCCAATGGCTCTATCCGCTATCCAGCCAGCCAACCCCTCCAACGTCGTTCGCGTGTCCCTTTATGGGAAGATAGAAAACTCCAGGCTCCAATTCGCCCCCTTCTTCAGGATTGCCGTCTCCAACGACGGATGTTCTGTTGTTATCTTTGGCTTCTGTGTTGCCAAGAGTGCAGTAACTTTTCGCAAGGATAAAAAGGAAATAAAAAGTCGCTGTGCTGTGTCGAGAGTCGCAAAAGAAACAATGTGCAAACAAATCAAAGAGGGGGAAATTCGTTCGCCCTTATTACCCCCCAAGTCCAAGTTCGGACTTCTCCTAGGATACCTTTCCTAGCCAAACGCCGTTGTCCTTATTCAGATAACTCCGTATGTCCAGCAGGTGTTGTACAGCAGTAGAAAAAAAACTACAACGAGTGTTATGATAGTGATGCGGTCGAAATGGTCTCGCCTCCAGCTGTGCTGGGTCGGTCGAGCACCATTTCGATCTCACGCTCCTCGGTGGGAGTTTGTACGTCTCGGATCTCCTTGTCTTGGAAAGTCCGTCGGAGCTTCTCGTCCAGCATCGAAGCCAGACGCTCCTCGTACTGATCTAAGAGACCGCTGATAAGAGCGGTGTCGTGGGTTCTGATAGCTCGGTCGCCAAGAGCAGCGGCGGTCATGCGGAGCTCTTGGTCGAGCTCAGTCAGAGAGTCTTGGCTTAGGGGCTCTGTCG